ACCAAGAGATTGGGCTGCAGGCATGTATGGATTCATCTGAACTTCATTTCAAATCCAGACCTGATATGATTTGAAAGTTATTTTTATGGATGAAAAGTTTGCTGAGTATATATATTGCATAAAACTAAAAAGTTTACTGACTTGTTTGATTAATTAGGGTCATTTTTTACATTTTCAAAATACTGAACAGACTGAATTCTTAAATCCATGGTTAATGTATCCTTAAAATAAAATTGGTAAACAAAATTTGTGATTGACTGCCAACTACCATGTTTTTTTTTACATATGGTAACAGCTGATGTCACTAAAAATATGTCAAACTGGTGACGTCTGTTTCAAAAATCTTCAATATATTAGTATGTATTTTCAGAGTATTGATATGTATTTACTCTCAGAGTATTGGTATTTACTGCCAGATGTGTTGACTGRAATATGCAAATAGGTTTTTGAAACATTTAACTATGAAAGTTGACCTGCAAACAGGATGTATTTCAACCATTTTTCCGATAAATATACCCAATGAGACAATTTCATTTGTACTACAAAATACTACTCAAGTAATTTTGATTGAAATTTCCTGTCATCTCCCAGCATTTTAGGCCAGATTCAATTTAAATTTTTGTCTTAATATCTTCTTGTCAATTCTCCCACCATATACACAGACTATAGCCCACCTAATGAAGGTCAGTTATTTGCCTCAAGCTATGTTGTTTTTGGTGGATTCAGCTGAGGGTTTTGTTTACACTGAGCACGTCTGCATTTCAGAATTGCCAACAACATATCTGAAAACTACTTTAGTACATTCTTTCAAACTCAGGATAAACTTTTTACATTTAGTTTCATAGTTTACAATGAGTAGCTTTAAACTGAATAAAAGGTCATCATATCTGAGGACAGCTTAGTGTTAAACAATTGAGTTTCCTACAACAGCAGTGCCTTTGATGACAGGGATGTGGTTTTTCTGCAGAACACCTGCAGACAGAAGATTATGGTGACCTAACACCTTTCTATGATTTTTCACTAATTACACATGATTACTGTTTTTGGGTACTAACTAAAGTTATTACCTTAACGACATCATCGTATCACAGATATGAGCAGGAAACTGTTGCTGTTAGAATATAATGTTCATTTTCCACCTCAAGCTTATACTTTATATAACGTAAGACATCTGTTCTCGCTCAGTCATTTTGCATGGATATTTTATACAGTACTATACATTTTAAACAGCACGGTTGACAAAGACAAATGTTTTTTTCAGTTGTGATGGAGGAAGTGGATCTGTTCGATCTGTTATTTCTTTTGTTAACCGAGAAGAAGCACCAGTTTGTAACTTTGTCACAGAGACCACCTTTGTTTCCGACAGAGGGGGGTGCAGCAATGAGCGAATGTAGAGAATGTGGACGAGGTGTACTCCCTCCCTGCCATATAGAGCCACCTGTGTCGCCACACTGTCTCCTTCCACGAGTTCTATGACTACCTCCATAAGATATATTACACTGTATTTATGAGTTTTGCTGGAACTGCTGTAGGGATGGCTGTATTTTTTTACAGCCTCGGRCAGCTGAGCTGTTGAAACGAAACGAGAGAAGTACAGTTCAGTTCGGACCAATCAGACTGTACTTGGCAGGTGGCTGTGAACAGAACTGGTTCTGGTGCAAATTTTTTGTCATGCAACTGCAACAGTGAGGACAAATTCAAAAATGCTTGCAAAATACAAATCAATTAGTGTTTCTAATTAACTGGTCCTGAGCCCTTTCCTACTGTTGACTATGACAGACCCTGATGTGAATTATTGCTTAAACAAAATTGAGTGAACTGAATTTATCAGGATTTGTTGAGTTCTGACTGAGCAGAACTGAGGTCTTTTAATTTTAGAGCTTTTTGAATGTGTCATCAGAGTATGAAATCCATGTTAAACATGTAAAACATACATCTATTAAATTACATTTTTTACATCACTTCTTTTTATTTATTGTATTTTAGTTAAAGTACACACCGAGTCCTGGCCTATTGCAGGAATCTAGAATAAGGGATTAAGCCGGGATTTTGGTGTAAACGTGAATTAATTAAGCCTTGAAGCAGTTGCATGATAGAGGAAGCACTTATGTTTTCATAGTAACAAGTGCTCTGAAACTAACCTGGTCCRGACCAGGTTTAAAGTGAAGATTATTTAATCCTCTGAGCAGTAGAGTCACTTTACTGCAAAAACATATAACCAAGTTTTACAATCTTTTATCAGCTAAAAAGTATTTTTGATCTTGTTTTCAGACCGGTATACTAAACAAGATCAGAATATGTTGGATTATTAAACTTGTTAATCTGAAAAGTTTTCTTTTTTTTTTCTTGATGCCTTCTCCCCCTATAGCCATCCTCTCCACACCATTATTATGTTTTTTTTTTAATTTTTAAAGTTTTATTTTTTTTATTTATTTATTTAAGTTTTCTTTATTTCAACAAGTCTTACCAATTGCAACTGTCAAACTGCAGATTATTAATT